CCTTTCCACACTCTTGCAATATTCTAAAAAATGTTTCTAAACTCTAAACGCTCTAAAAGAGCACAGCATGTCATGAAATCAGCTCTCTGCCTCTGGCTGCACTCTGCCTCCTGCAAGTGCACTTAGCCACACCCCCTTCTCTGCTGCAGAGCGGAGATATGACACGCTGCAGGAGGGAGCTTCTCCTGCAGATGTGGGCTGCACACAGGTGCAGCAGGTGCTAAATAATTTTAAATAATTTATTTTAATTCCATTCCGATCATGCGTCTCATCCGTCAATCGGCCAATTGAGTGTCATGTCCAATCTTACTTTGAAAAACCGCGATAGAGCGAGTGCACAAAAAATAAACATTGAAGTAGCAAGGGACTACTGTCCATCCATCCATTTTCTTTACCCGCTTATTCCATTTTGGGTCACGGGGGTCGCTGGTGCCCATGTCCAGCAATCACTGTGCGAGGGGCGGGGGACACCCTGGACAGGTCGCAAGTCCATCACAGGGCCACAAAGAGACAAACGATACAAACAACCATTCACTCTCTCACTCACACCTAGGGACAATTTAGAGTTACCAATCAGCCTAACATGCATGTTTTTGGTCTGTGGGAGGAAACCGGAGCACCCGGAGAAAACCCACGCATGCACGGAGAGAACATGCAAACTCCACCCAGAAAGGCCCCTGGACCGGGGTTTGTACCAGGGACCTGCTCGCTGAGAGGCAGCAGCTCTACCAGTTGCGCCACCGTGCTGCCCAGGGACTACTGTATAATACTGTTTTCAAACCTAAACACCGGCTGTAAACAATTGTTCTGATTGGTTAAGGCTCTGCCAGCATTAACCTTTTCTGAGCCGGGCTACAGCTGATTATATCTACATATTCCTGTATTAGACTGACTTCAGATCAGTTTAAACTTTCAGAACCTTTTCTAAGTTGGCCCTATTCAAAGGAAGCATGATCCCTGTGATGGAAAAAATGAACTCAGGCTGTAAAGTTTTATTTTAGCTGTCACTGCTGCTTATATTTAGCACACACACAGACACAAAAAAACTAGTCGTACTCCCGGTCCCTAAAAATTGTTTTGAAAACAACATATCTTCAGGTTATGCATTATATAACCAAGAAAATCTATTCCAAACAAATTCAGAGATTCATTTTGTAAACAAAAACCTCAGAAAAGCCTTTAATTGCATCAAGAACAAACAAACCACTAATTAGACAAAGATTTAAAGAAATTATCTTGAGCTTCGGTTTAGTTGTGCAGGTTTCAGTCTTGCAGTAATTTACCAGCACAGACAAACAAATAAAAAATGGACCGTTGAGTTTGTGTTATTGTTGTTTTTCTCTCCTTTAATTTCACTGAACATCAAAAAAAAAACATCTACAGTGAATCCACCTGATCTTGTTCCTGGAAGAACAAACAGCAGCTGTGAAAGCTAACACACACACACACACACACACACACACACACACACACACACACACACACACACTCCTGCATCAGTGCAGTCACATTTCCCCCAAAACTAACAGATTCTTAAACTCTTACATGCACTTAGCCAGCCAGACAAATCTGCAGAGCTACACAAACCTGCAGGAATGCTGTTGGGGAGCTTGGTTATAAATAAAAAAACTGAAACAAAAACAATTTTACCCTTTAAACCTACATTGTCAGACTATTACAATGCAAAAAAGAACATCTGTGCTCAATTACTCCAACTTCCAAGCCTCCACTTAGCCTCCGCCCTCCATTCTTATCCCGGTGCTTAAAAGTTAAAAGCCTGATCACCTTTAAGATATTTTGTACAAATAGCTTGTGAAAATTGGAACACAAACTTTAAGAAAGCATTATTTTTATTCTAACTTTTGTGTGTGTGTTTGTGTGAGGAGGTAAGGAGGTCACGCTAACCCCATGGTGGGATCCAGAGCGATGCCTTTAGGGTTGTACAGCTCCTGGTCCAGGAGGGTGACACATGTCTGGCCGTTCTTGTCGCACACAAAGATCCTGTCGTCCACATCGTCCACAAAGTAGAAGTTTCCCGTGAGCCAGTCGATAGCCATCTGCTCCACATCTGGAAGAAGAAGAGGATGAAAGGAGACACAGGAGATGCAGGGTGAGGTAATGCCTTTAGGACTGGGAGCGATTCAGTGTAAAGGCCGTTGAACTGAATATTACCAGACGTAAAAAGAATCTGACTTTAGAATAAAGTGTTGCTTGACTGTTTGTGAAGTCATTAGAATTTTCAATATTTCTACATAAATGATTTAAAACATCATCAGATTTTCACACAAGTCCTAAAAGTAGATAAAGTTAAACAAATGAGACAAAAATATTATACTTGGTCATTTATTTATTGAGGAAAATGATCCAATATCATATATTTGTGAGTGGTAACGTATGTGAACCTCTAGGATTAGCAGTTAATCTGAAGGTGAAATTAGAGTCAGGTGTTTTCAATCAATGGAAGATGATCAGGTGAGTGGGCACCCTGTTTGATTTAAAGACCAGGATCTATCACAGTCTGCTCTTCACAACATGTTTGTGGAAGTGGATCATGGCAGGAACAAAGGAGATTTCTGAGGAACTCAGAAAAATTGTTGTTGATGCTCATCAGGCTGGAAAAGGTTACAAAACCATCTCTGAAGAGTTTGGACTCCACCAATCCACAGTCAGACAGATTGTGTACAAATGAAAGAAATTCAAGAGCATTGTTCCCCTCCCCAGGAGTGGTGGACCAACAAAGATCACTCCAAGAGCAAGATGTCAAATAGTCTGCGAAGTCACAAAGGATCAGGGTAACTTCTCTCTCACATTGACTAATGTTGATGTTCATGAGTCCACCATCAGGAGAACACTGAACAACAATGGTGTGCATGCTAGAGTTGAAGGAGAAACCACTGCTCTCCAAAAAGAACATGGCTGCTCATCTGCAGTTTGATAAAGATCACGGGGACAAGCCAGAAGACTGTTGGAAGAATGTTTTGTGGACGGATGAGACCAAAATAAAATGTTTTGTTTTAAATGAAAATCGTTATGTTTGGAGAAAGGAAAACTACATTCTTGCATAAGAACCTTATCCCATCTGTGAAACATGGTGGTGGTAGTATCATGATTTGCACCCGTTTTGCTCCATCTGTTCCAGGATGGCATGCCATCATTGATGGAACAATGAATTCTGAATCATATCAGAGAATTCTAAAGGAAAATGTCAGAACATCTGCCCATGAACTGAATCAAGAGAAGGTGGGTCGTGCAGCGAGACAATGACCCTAAACACACAAGTGGTTCTACCAAAGAATAGTTCAAGAAGAATAAAGTTCATGTTTTGGAATGGCCAAGTCAAAGTCCTGACCTTAATCCAATCCAGATGTTGTGGAAGGACCTGAAGCAGCAGTTAATGTGAGGAAACCACCAACATCCAGAGTTGAAGCTGTTCTGTACGGAGGGATGGGCTAAAACTCCCCCAAGCCGGTGTGCAGGGCTGATCAATAGTTATCGAAAACTTTTAGTTGTAGTAATTACTGTACGGGGTGTCACACCAGAGACTGAAAGCAAAGGTTCACATACTTTTACCACTCACAAATATGTAATATTGGATCATTTTCCTCAATAAATAAATGACCAAGTATAATATTTTTGTCTCATTTGTTTAAATGGGTCCTCTTTATCTACTTTTAGGGCGTGTGTGTGAAAATCGTTTGAGTCTTTCAAATCTTTCAAGCACCACTGTAAGTGAATAACTGAGTGATACTGAGTAGGATTTACAACTCTTCCTGTTAACATTCACAAGCGTTAAATATATTTGTGTTTGAACCATAGGCCTATTTTTTTTCCCAACCATCTAGATGACAATACCAACTGGGAACTGTCTCAAAAGTGGCTGCCTTTCACAGCTATAAGTGCTGCGTTGCCAGAGTAGTGGTTAAAAGTGAAGGTGGTTCATTTTCCAAAAGATCCAAAGAAAAAAACTTCTCCCCATCCCCAGAAAATCAAACACCTCGACATGTGCACGTGGCACCACCCTAAGACTTTATGGAACAGTAAAAGCATAACTAAGCTCTGTGTAAAACAGCAAAGTCTCTATAAAATGGTTTTAATTGGGAAGAAAATGAGGGGTGTACAAATGAAGAAAAAACTGAGTGAAAGGAGAGAGAGAGACTTAAACCTCTCTGTGGTTTGTTCTCACCTTCCTCTAATTGTGATCCGCCCAAATGAACAAACTCACATGAAAGATTCAGAAAACCTGCCAGAAAATCAAAGTTTTCCAACAAGTCTGTCTTAAGAAATATTCCTTTGCCTTATTATAACCTTTAAATTTTCTATTGAAATTAATAATTTACTCTCTCTGCCGGCTAACTTTGCACCAGGAAATCCCTTTGTATAATGTTTGTGAGGCTTAGGGATTCCCCTTTTTAAACATACAGTATGACTGAAATTCCCAGTGACATCATTCTAAACCAGGGGTCTGCAACCTGCAGCTCTGGGGCCACATGTGGCTCTTTTGTCCCTCTGCAGCGTCCCTTTCAGGCTTTGACCAAAACTCAAATAAAACTGAATTTGATTTAAATTATTGCAAACAATGAAAATGGCTAGTTTTAGCATATTTCCCGTCATTTTCAAATATGTGAAGGATAGTACAAATACAAGGCATAAAACATGTGGACTACATCATGCTAATAGTTTATTAGCCACTTTAAGTCGACTTCCGGTCTCACAGCGTGAACTTTCTCTCAAAACCACCAGAATGTTTTGGAATATCTTTAAGACAAGTTGCTGAGAAGGAATATGGTGAGCAACTTTGGTAGCACTAAGAATAAAACAAAAAAACTAAGTCAAAGTAAACCAAAGTATTTGTTTTTCTTTAAAAATGTAATTGGATTTCCAACAAACTAGCCTCATTTTATACTGTCTTTAACTTTATGCTTTAAGTAGGATGCCAACGTTCATGCTCAATAATCCAAGTAAAAAGACAACTATGTTCAGTCACGTCATCTGGATGGTTTGTTTTTGCTGAGACGTTTCGTCCTTCATCCAAAAGACGTCTTCAATCTGAAGAGCCACCAAATAAGCAGATTCCCACAAACATCATATACTATAGTGGGGAAAAAACAGTTTGCTGGTGCTAAGATGTCAACTCAGATTGAAGAAGTCCTTTGGATGAAGGACGAAACGTCTCAGCCACAAAAGAAACTGTTTAAGTACGATACTTAATTCTTCAACAATTAAGATAATTCACATAGACCTGCAGAGTTCAGTGTTTTAATTTTTATAAAATTGTTAAAAAATATATATATTTTCTCTCTTTACATAAATCTGTTTTTTTTTCTTTTGTATTAAAATGTAAAAATATTATAAATGTTAACAATAGACATTTCTCGTTTTATATCACCCCCACTGGCCAGAAAAGCCATCTCCAACAAACTTGTAGTGGTCCACGGGCCACCAGTTGACCGTACACAGTTGGAGCAGGTTTTGCAGCTCCAGACACATCGATTCATAATTAGTAAGCAAACTGGCAAAAATGGCTTTTTTTTTTTAATCGTAAAGGTTGCAGACTATTGTTCTAGATGCAAATAATTTATGTTTTAAAGCCAGTACTCTTGAAAAATCATCTAACTTGCTGCTAGCCAGGTGATAAATGGGTAAATTTAATTAAACTAATGATCATTTTGAAGCTTTCAAAGACAGAGAATGTGAAAATATTAACTCATTATTGAAAAAAAATTCCTCAAAATGCCAGCATGGGGCACAATTTTTCTAAAATACAAGAGGATTAAAACCAAGAACCACCTTGTGTTCCCACTTTTAAACAAAGACCTTGTGTGATCTGTTTGCACTGAGACATTCTTGCAAATGTTTTTGATCTTCCTTTTGCACATCATAAACCTCAATGGATGTATCATTAGCAGATTTATTTTTCTTTTTTCTTTATTCGGTGGTTTAGGGTTTACATCTAAGGAGCAAAAAAATAAATAAATAATAATAACACATAGGAATGTCCATGTTTTTGCTAATTACTTTTTTTTTTTTTTTTTTTTTGGAGGGGGTCGTCACTGACTGCTGAGAAAAACAAACATTTTGGTGCTGCAGTTTTTGGGTTTAGGCTAAAACAATCTAAACCTCATTCTACTTCATTTATCCTGATTAAAATAAAAAGAATAAAACCCAACACAGACGATATAAATGAAACTACTAATTTAAAGTTTGGCTGTAAATCCATACATCTTCTAAATCCCTTACATGTACAAGCGTAGACAAAAAGTTTGTTTATTTTAGTAGAAACTCAGATTTTTTTCTGCTTTCACTCGTCAGTGATGGGATTTCTTCATGCATCGGTCATACATTTAATCTTGGAGGATTTAAAAAAATGTCATCTGCGCAGAGTGTGACCTTGAGACAAAAAGTAAGAAAAATGTGGGGAGGAGGGCTTCACAAACCACAAGACTTATTTTCACAGCTGCTGCAAGCTCAGCTTTCCAGAGAGGTTACAGTCGAGCTGCATGGGAGCTTTGCTTTTCCAAAGCTCCGAGCGGAGGGTGGTGGTCCAGTGCAGTGGTGTGTTTTCCAGGGTGAACAGGTTGCTGTGCTGATTTACTGAAGACCAGTGAGAGACTCCAGTTCTCCTCCCAGGACAGAAACTCAATGAGCAAAAGAGTCTTAATAAAACTCTTCAGCAGTTAAGAACCAATACAACTGAGTGTAAATCTAAAGGAGTCCTCTGCGGTTAGAAAGAACCGAGACGTTTTCCTGAGGGTTCGGACAGGTTTAAGTGGGAGGGGAAGGAAATAGTTTCAGATATTTTAGGCTTGAGTAAAACTTGAGGGGGAAAAAAGATAAACAGCTAAAATATTAGAAGTCAAACAGTTCTTAAAGGAATATATATCACCCACCTCCTTTGATGTCTGAGACTAAAACTTGGATCATCTTATGTGGAGGAATGATGGAGCGGAAGCCATCTTTGAGGTGGTTACTGTGGTGGAACTGGGTTGACTCCAAAAATTATCAGTTGTAGATGTAAAACTAAAGATATTCTGTCAACAGACAAACAAGGTTAACTCCAAGATCCAACCA